TGAAATGGTTGATTCGTCTAAAGATAGATTTGAATACTGCATGCACATCATAAAACATTGCCGGGAAAAGGTAGATTCCCGAATAAAGTTTGGTCTTGCCTAACAGCTGTTAAGAAACGGTTAAAAGAGAGCTACAGGGCTATATCTTCCGCTATGGTCTTTCTGCCAGGGTATGTAAAAAACAACTTTTGTATAAGTTTATTCTCAGCTAAGACTGAATTTATACAACGAGGCAGTACGAGCAGAGTAAGAAAGAGAATTTATAAAACGGCATTGAAAAACAATGTCTGTGTCATTGAAAAGGAAGCTCTCTATTATTAATACAATACCTTCATAACGTTAACCATGAATTTGAATATTAATCAAAATCATCGCATCAGTTCTTATCTGAAAGGACTCGAAACCATCACAGTAAACATGATGTCCGCGGTGGCATGATAATTTTTGATGACTACAGTAAGGAACTAATCTGTAAAGAAAGCCAACCAAGGGATTTGATAACCTGTCTCTGACAGCTTAAGGGAATTTTTAGGACTTCAGTTGTTGTGTCAAATACAATTGAAATTAAAAGTTATGATATGAGGAACGATGGAGAGATCACTAAGTTGGTTCAATGTGGTAATGATGAAATGATGATAGGAAAGTTATAATGCAATTGTTCAGACGTTGAAAGAGTTATGTACGCTGTGTAATATGTTTTCATTTTTTGCCTTTTTTTAATTTTTTTAATTACAAAAGCTAGAGCACATTTCCTAGCTCATATTACCTGATACGCGACAAATTTCCCATGTTGTGTGAAAAACTTGATTTTACTGCAAAATGTAAAAAAATGGCCATGGGTGAAATGAAAAACAGAAGAATAGTTACAGTTTGCGGAGGAGTTATCAGTTAGGGGACAGTTCGTAACTGCCTCTTTTGTCATCTTAGATCTAGAAAACAACAAATTCTCAACTGATAACATCACACCTGTCACTGAAGATGTAGAAGTTTATTATTTTTTTCCTTGTAGCATTTATGAACGTTCGAATTCTAATTGTGGGGGGTGCAGTCCAAATCAACTATTGTCTGCCTTTGTTAAAATTGCATATCTAGCACAAAATATTTACCTTCCTATTGCATTTTGTCTGTTTAAATCATAATGGAAAACGTTTACCAGCTGCAGATGAACACTCCCCCTTTGTTCTCATTCGGTCTTGCTTCCCGTCAGAGTTATTCTTCTACACTAACTGTTAGTATGAATATTCTCCCTAATGTATTCCATTTTAGCTCGGAATATTGCATATCTGTTTGATTTGCATAAACTGTAAACTCTACAGAGTGAATCTTGTTATGGTTTAACAGCATTACTTTGTACTAAACGAGATGCGTGTCTGACATGATCAAAACTATTAATTTGGAAAAAGTCTTGAGTCATTAAGTGGTTCAATGTTGTTTCTCTTCTTCCGGATCACACAGCAAATGCATTGTTCTACTTCCTCTTTTATGTCCCTCTTGAAGAAAGCGTAAGCAACTGGGTTGATGGCAGAGTTTAAAACAAACAGAGGCAACTTGAATCTTTTATCATTACATGGTTGTTCGACTTTCATTATGTATACAAGACTACATCGCAGATAGCATGCACAACAAACAAGAAACAGGCCAATAACAATGACCATCAATTTCACAGCCGACTTCTCCTCGTTTTTGCGCAAATATCGATGATTGAAGCGGAGTTGTTTTGCTAAGATACGAGCGGCTCGTTCGTGTTTATAAACAACATGTAACATTGAACCAAAGTAAAAAATGAGACTGCAGCACGACAGGATCTCTAAAATCATTAATATCCAAAAAGAAATTAAGAAAAGAGAACGACTGTCGTTAAAAACGAGCCACATTAACACATAGGGACAGACAAGAAGAATTGACAGTATCCAAGAAAGGAAAATCAACTGAGAAACACGTTTGCGTGTCATGAACAATAAATATTTGAGAGGCTTCACAACAGCAATGAAGCGATCCAGGACTAAACTACATAAGTTTGTTACAGACGCATATGTAAACAGCCACCTTAGATAATCCACCCAGTCGGCAAAAGGGGCTTCAGGATCGCATCCATTTGTCTTCTCGCAGACAAAAAGTGAGGGAACAGCACTCAGCCCAACACAGAAATCCGCCACAGCAAGTGAAACGACAAACGCGTTGCTTTTAGTTCGAAGCCGCCGCCGTCTGCAAACAAGGAAGATGATAGATCCATTTCCAGCTATGGTTAAGATGGAAAGAGACCAGCCAAGAATCCAGAACCAGGTTTCCATTTAGGGGTTTTTGAATGACTTTACTCCGGCAAAAATACAGAAGATAACTTTCGATGATGAACTGATAGAAGACCCACCGATGAAGTTACTTGACTAAGGAACATTTTTATTGACACCTGTCATGAGCCTGTCAATAAAAGTGCTCAATTTGTTTGCCTTTACGTATGTAAAGTTACATATTTAATACAAAGCCTCTCCTGCCTCTTTATCTGCTTCACCCGTAACGTTAAGATAACTAGCAGATTTTAGAACTCACTGTTCTCATTGTGGCTGATTTCATCTGAAAACGTGGGCACGAACTAAAAAACTGGCTTGTTCAGGCCAGAATTATTTCTTACTGAAAACCAGCTGACTGCAGCTTTAACGCAGTCAAATAAGTACCAGAACTTCTGACTAAAACTTCCGTGGCTCGGAATAAAAGTTATCCATATAGTCCAGAGCAGAAACACTTACCTTTCAGTACTCAGCTACTGAAATTATGTAATTTAGTCTCCACTACACAACAAAAAACACAGTAGTGTACAACAAATAAGTTTATTTAGGGAAGCCTGCCGAGAACCAACCCGAGGCACATATAGCCCGAGGCGTGCATACATACCTTCGCAACTGATCTACCATATACAATCCTGATATAAAGTCAATTCCTTACACATTCAAAATAGGTATACATTACTAACATGCACGCTTCACCAAGTCGGGATTGACAGAGGTGGGCAACCGCTTACAAGGACATTACTACGGTTATACGGAGGCCAGAAAAAACCTGCCAGAAAAAACCCCTTTTGGGGAAAAAATATGACAGGAAATCTGGGTAGGAACCATGGCCCACACTCAGAGCAGTTGGCAGCCCGTCCTACGAGGCTTCACATTTAAAGAAAATCAGTTTTCAAACTAAAATAAATTTGTCATCAACAATAAGTATTTGAGAGGCTTCACAACAGCAATGTAGCGATCCAGGACTAAACTACATAAGTTTGTTATGGACGCGTACGTAAACAGCCATCTTAGATAATCCACCCTGTCGGCAAAAGGGGCTTCAGGATCGCACACTACGTCGTATTTTTTTGGTTCCATATAACGCATTTTCCTTCTTTCACCTTCCAGCCAAGTGACGTCAACTTTTTTAAGTAAGGGAAAGCCTAGAACATTAGCTGCAACCTCTATTTTTGGCTTACTTTTCCATATCTCGCTTATGCACAGCATGGGCGCCAAGACTGTCTCAACACTGCAGGTGTCGTTGATGCGGATGGTGCAAATGTTCACAGTCTCACGTTCTGATTGGTTTCGCGGGTAAAAAAGCAGTATGGCGATTATTACCACCTATATCGCGCTCTTGCACACTTCGAACTGTTCGCAACACACGCTTGTGCGGTAAAGAAATTTAAAGGGTACCTTAAGATTCACACGAACCTAAAAATAACCGGTAAATAAACTCGAATGAGGTAAACTAGAAAGGAAAGGGAAACAGTTAGAGATGGAAAAGATCACTGAGGTGTGAACTGAACAAATTGGAGAACAAAGGCGGCTTCATTTTAGAGGTGATCTTGGAATACAATTTTGTTTTGTTCCTTAATTATCAACGCCTATTGACAAGCCATTAATGAAAGCTTAAAATAAAATTTTGCAGATTTCTTGGATTAGCTGAAAAAACTGAATTACTTTATCTAGATGACGCAGAAAATACGTTTCGTCATCTCCTTCTTTATATCCCGCTTGAAGAAAGCGTACGCAATGGGGTTAATAGCAGAATTTAAAATAAGGAGGGGTATTTTATATTCTTCATCATCACATGTTTTTCCTGTTTTAAATAATAATATATAACCACATCGTAAAGCAAATGTGTTCGCCAGAAGGAAAACTCCTATAACAATTGCCATCATTTTAACTGCAGATTTCTCCTGGATTTTGAACAGAAATCGATGATTAAAGTGGAGCTGCTTTGCTAAGACACGAGCTGCTCGTTCGTGCTTGTAAACAACAAGTAACATTGAAGCGAAGCAAAAGATCAGTCCACAGCATGGTAGAAACGCCAAAAAAAATATGTTCATCGAAATAATTATGTCATATAGTAAACGGCATTGGCCCGGACAAAGCCGATCCATTCTGAAAAAAGCCAAAGCAGTAATAACTGGAATCGCCCAAGAGATGAAAATCACCAGGAAAACGCGGCGACGCTTCATAAAAGTCAAATATTTGAAAGGCATTACAACGGCGACATAACGCTCCAGGACTAAAGTGCACAGGTTTACCACTGAGGCGTATGGGAATAAGTTCCTCAAGTCGTTAGATAACCCGTTACAATCGCCTTCTTCCTGGCAGAAGAACAATGAAGGTACAGTGCTCAATCCAACAAAGAAATCCGCTACTGCAAGAGAAACGATGAACGCGTTGGTTTTGGTTCGGAGCCGCCGTCTGCTGCAAACAAGGAAGATAATAGATCCATTTCCACTTATGGTCAGAATGGAGAGAGACCAGCCAAGAATCCAAAACCAAGTTTCCATTTTTATCTGCTTTATCGATTTTTTATTTATTACAGAGATAAAATGTCAAGAATCGTACATGGAACAACTGAAGAAAGATCGTAATCCCAAGGCGGCTGTTGAATTCTCCTCTATGTAGGTGTATATCGGACAGCCATCATAACACCTCTTGTCAGTCTCCTTAATGACGGTGGAGACACTTTTCCTGTTCTAAAAATATAATTTCATTGAAACTCAAGTTCCTTCTTCTGGAAAAAGTTTATGGCGTTAATGATCTTTACTCTGTGGTCTCGGCCTCAACGCAAGTTGTAATGAACGTTTTCGATGTCTTACGTTTGCAATGATTTCATCATAACGGTTCTGTCTTGAAATATCATCGTGAATCCAAAACCAAGTTTTTATTTTGTAATAAGAGTAGTTTTACTCATATAACTTTCCAGAGACTTGTCATGGACAAATAATCAGAAGTTATTTTTTGGTGTAATAGACACCAACATCTTTTACTCCTGCCATCAAATACAAGTGGAGATAGTGTTCTTCAAGATCTATTTGGAAGAGAATTATTATGGAAAATTAAACTCATGTTTGCGTTAAATTTAGCATCCTAATAACATACA